AGACATACTCCGGCCGGGAGCTTAGCTGCCTGAATCTTGAAATTGACCCGTTTGCTAGTACGAAAAAAGGGGATTATGGGTCGGGTCGCCGGGTCGGGTATGGTGGTTCGGGCCGAGAGAAAAGGAGATGGAAATGGCTGTGAGCTTGCCATTTTTTTTTTCGAATGGTGGCCAAGAGCTCACATTAGTCACCTTATCCACTCTTGGTGTGAATATGAGGGGGTTTTTTGGGCCTTTTGGGCTTACCCATATTTGTACGGTTTTGTGGTTGATTTTGATTTGGGCCCACTGTTGTTTAAAGCGTTGACGTGGCGCAACACAAGTCTCAAATGTATGTGCTAAAGTGAGTCTAGCCCAAAGGCCCAATATGAGCTGAAGTCCAATAAATCTGACTGGTATTTGGGGATGAGCCTGGTTAGGCCAGTCATTGGACAGTTTAATATCATAATAAGATTTCCAAAAATGACTCATTTAGTTAACGGCAACTCATTTAGTCTGGATAATAGAATATATAACCGAAACAAGTAGCTCGTGAGCTCGAACTCATTTAGTTAACGAGCTGAATTCAACTTGTGAAGACTTGAAAAATATAATTTCTATATATTTTTCTTTTACATTTAGTACAATTCATTCATAAAAGTTCGACCTTGGCTCGTTAAGGCTTGTTAACCAGTCGAGCATGTTTATCAGCTTAACTTGGTTAAATAAAGATTCGAACCCAAATCTATCAAGAATTCGAGCTGAACTCGACTCATTTACAACTATATTAATAAATTAAGAAAAAAAATCGACCACATTTGCACATGCTGTCCCATAAAGATGGTCTTGCCATCATGATGATGATATCAAGAATTCAAGATACATGACAATTCGATTATGGACTATCGAGCACATTGGTATAATACTTGCTCTCATAAACGTGGCATAGAATTTTCGTTAGTTATATATACATTTATTTTTATTTAAAAATATAATGAATATCACGTAATTATAATTTTTACTTTAAAGCATGTATTCATTCCATGTAAATAAGATACTTTTATTTATTTGTCACACCAATCCCAATCTATGATAGGGTATGCACATGCTTCTACAGCTGGAATCGTGCAGATGCAGAGTTTTTCATAGTAAAAGATTTTACAGATATGTTCAAACTAGATCTTGCCATATTTTTCTAACCTAATATTGTCATTGACTTATAACTGTTCAAGATAACAATTTGATTAGGAGTGATTGAGCAACATTGTGGTCCGGTGCAAAACAATACTAAACCATACTGAATAGAAATATAAAAAATCGTGAAAGTTTCAATAAGAACCGCAATGCAGTCTACAAGAAAAATGAATTGAAAGTAACCGAACCACACAGTTCGGCTCAACTTTTTTATTGGGTTCACAGGTGGTGCAATACAGAACCAAACGAGAAAAATAATTGTGGGAAAAGTAACTGAACCGAATTGCATCCAAACAATAAAAAGTTCGAACGAAACCGATCAGAACATTTTCTACACTAAAATAATCAAAGCGGACTGCACCGAATCGCATTATCTTGCTTGGTTTTTCGTTTTCAACTCGATTTTACTACTCAGAGCATCTTCGGCCCTTTACTCTACTCTGGAGTAGAATAGGCGAAAATTCAAGTTTCATTTCCCGTCCTTTGCACTACATTTTACTCCACATTAAATATATTATTTTTTTATTCATTTTTAGTTCAATAAGTTGTAATATACATGCATATTTAATCTTAAGTCATTCAAATTTTAATTATATTTTTTTTATTTGTGTACTTTGTGATCTATGTGTTGTAAACTTTTGCTTTTAATAAAATTTATTTGTTTTATTGTGATAAATTATTATTCATATGATATTATGTCATTAAAAAATTATAAAATAAAATGATAATACATCAAAAAATAAAAAGCACAAAGTTATTTAACATAATAAATACATTTACTAATACACATAATACAAAAAATTATCACTAACATTACATTAAAATACATTAAAAAAAAACTATAGAGTGAATCTACAGTGTCGCATTATATTTGGTGCAACACTGTTCATATATGTAGAATAGAGCTGATTTGTAGCGATGCATTGGAGAGAAAAATTTCTATAGTCTAGCGCAAAAAGGTGATCCTGGAGCTATATTGTAGACGCTCTTAGTACGGACATTTTTGTTCGAGAGAGAACTTGATGCAATAAAATGTCAAGTACATTCAACACCAAAATCTTTCAACACATCACACACCACTATTTAGAGCGTGCTTGTTTACAAATAAATCCGTTTAAAATGAATTTTTTCGATTAATCAGAGTTAATTTTGAAAAGTTGAATGATTAGTTGTTAGTGAGATTTTGATTTTATATTAAAATAATATTTAAAACAATTAAAGTTGGTACTTGTTAGTGGAACAATTGTAAGAGTTGCACAATCTTAAAAACCCCCCATTAGTGTAAAGAAAAAACAATGAAATGAAAGAAGATAATGATCTTACATTAAAAAGTGAGAGAACAAAAATCAAAACAATCAAGCTCTCAACATTGTAGTATACTAGTATACATACAAAATAACAACAGAAACCCATAAATTGGATTAACTATGCAAAATCTCAGTTCTAACAAAAATAAACTGCACAACCTCAGCCTTCAATTCTCCACTACTCATCACAAATTAGCAACTCAATCAATCTTCAAACAATTTATGCATCTCTATACACACTTTCCTCCTCTTCATTTCCTTCCAACATTCCAAAAAAACGAAGACTGTAAATCAATCACGCACCTGCTCGCCGGTTTTCGAACCTAAAAATGCAACTTAGCCCTACCAAGACCTCAGCTATGGCGGCCTCGGTTTTCTCCCTATCCGCAAAATGCAGAGTCTGACACAAAAGAACGCTACTCGTTTTTCCACATCCATCGAATCTCATCTTCTCCACCACATTCCTTTCCATCAGCCACATCACGCTATCACGAGCCATGGGCCCGAGCCAGCCCATCATCTCCTCCATAGCCTCCCTCCAACCTTCTGCCAAAAGCTCGTCGTTTTCTGCAGTCTTCATCTTCTTGGCCAGCTTCGACCTCAAAACTGACCGCAAGTTTTCCGGCAGCATCCGGTAGAGCTCCTCCCGCTCATCCTGGCTGATCGGGCTTTTCGAGCTCAGGTACTTACCAGCAAGTATGATGATGTTTGCGTACAGAGTTGTCAGGCCCGAACCCCCGACTGTTTCGGGCCCGGCCAAATGGATCACGCCGTCTGGGCCGTGGCCCGTTTTGTCCTCGTCGGGAAAGTCGATGGATCTCTGGCTGTGGAATCGGACCATGACGGGCTTGGACTTGGTTAGCAGAGGGCCCGAATAGGGGACGATTTTCTGGCGGAGATTCATGGGCTGCGGTCCGAAAACGGAGCAGATTCTCAGGTAGACGACGCAAACGGTTCGGGCCATTAGGTCGACGCTCTTGTCGAAGGTTTGGCTCCAGAGAGAAGTCTCCCTGAGATTGAGAACTTCCTTGCGCTGGTTTTCGAGCTTTTTGCTGAAATCGTCCATGTCGATTTTCATCACCTCGAGCTGATGGTGGTTGAGCTGCTTCAATTTCCGATCGGAAATCTCCAGATTGGCCAAGGCGTCCGCCGCTGAGTGCAGAGACGACGTCGTCGAGGCCAATTTCTCCATCTTCCGAACCCTCTTCTCCGCCGCCCGCGACCCGTACAGCTCCGATTTCCCCAAATTGACGATCCCCAGTTTCAGATCCGTGTAGATGACAGCGAACCGGTTGAGACCGAAATCGTCGCACCTCTTGCCCAGGCAGGCGACGGCGGCCGCGACTCGATCGAGTTCCTCGAGCTTCTCAGCGCACGCGAGGCTCAGCAAAAAATCCTCGTCGTCGGAGTTTAGGAACTGAACGCCCCTGGATCTGAAGACGTCGTTCCTCATCCGCGAGGTCTCCTCGTCGGTGATGGATCTGTACAGGGACACCAGCCGCGACATGATTCGAGCCGTCTCGAAGGCGAGGATACCTAAATTGGAACAGCACTTCTTCTCATTGGAGGTGAAGCGGCGGTGGGCCGGCTCCGGCAGCCAGGCCAAACCCTTGAACCCAACCATTTTTTTTATTATTTTTTGTTTTTTGGAAATTTGTTCGTCAGTTAGTGAGTTAGTTACGAGGGGACTTTTTGAATGAATGGAGTTTTAAAAAGGAGTTTGGGAGTGTGAAGGAAGTTGAGGTCGAAGGGTCTTCGCCATTGGAAGATAACGATAACACGCTTGCAGCTTGGACCCGCCGTCGACTGAAAGGGGTTCTTATTTCGGGTTTGTTTTTTAACCGACTTCAATGACAGATGGCTTTGATCTGTTTTAAGGCTTTCAAAGGAACTATGGAATGGAATTTGGAGATGTGGAGACTGTTTTAAACAAGAGTTTTTCAATAATGTTGACCGTCACACTTACCACTATGACATTATATCACTAATTTTATTTAATTCGGATCCGCTAGTTTAAAACTGGATAATACTTGAAAATATGAATAATTATATACGTTTTTATAGTTTAATTTTTTTTTTTTTCTTTTTGGTACAAAATTTTTATATAGTTTAATTGGTTAAGGATTGAGTATCAGATACTCAAATTTTTACTAATTTCACTAAGTTTACTTGGCTGCTCCATATATAATAATTTTACTAATTTCAATCATGATGAATAATTAATTTTTTTATTTTTTTTTTGTTTATAATGGTAGATATTATAGAGTTACATAGTAAATTATGAAAGTAATTGGGTAGACGAATTGATAAGTTTTGAGTTTGTGATTGAATATGGGATGATATGTAATAATTATAGTTGATGTGATATAAAAAATAAAATGATGATTTTAAATGATTGGTAGTTAAAAATATAAATATACAAGTTGATGAATAATAAATTTTATTTAAAATTGTATAAATGATTTTTTTTTAGTATTTTAAACTTGTGTTGATACAATTGATGACAAAAAAGTGAGAATAAATGAATAGTAATTTTTTCAGAAAGAAATTTGCATACAATCAATTTTTTTTTCTTTTTTCTTTTTTACATATTTTTGTATGAGTCTAACTTAGTCATTATACTTTCTTTTAGCAAAAATTTGTGATTGTAATAAAAAATGTCATATTTTTGTTTGTATTGTTTTTAGAATACGACATTTTAATTTGAGAATATGTATATATATGTTGAAGAAATATGATTGGTAATAATGCTCTTGGTTATCTTCTTCTTAACAACTGATTCTGACAGCTTAATCTGTTTAGAATTGATTATTTCTTAAGCTTTACCCCGCCAGAGACGGTGGTTGATTTTATTTATTACATTTACATTACTAGTTTGAACATTAGTATACCTAGTGTTCATTTTTTAGCAGACAAATACAGAATAAATATATAAAAGAACTAAATATTTGAAAAATTATATAAAAACGAATAACTATATGACATGAAATTACAGGTCTGATGTCTGAGAATACCTTCTACCTAGTAGTTTGACACTAGTTTTTTGTTGCAAAATATTCCACAAAATTCGTTTGTCGGTAAGACTAACATTAGACAAATTAATCGTTAGACAATAATTTTACTTTTCAAAAGATGTGTATGCTTTAAAATCAAAGTGTCCTATAGGGGTGTTCACGGTCCGGTTTTAACCGGAAAAAACCGTCAATCCGGACCGCATATCGGTTAAATGGTCAGTTAAAAAAGCCTTAAAAACTCCGATGGTTAATTTTTTTAAAAATCCGGAATAGCCGGTCCGGTTAACGGATTACCTGCGGCAAACTGCCGGTTTAACCGGACCGGACCGGTAAATATTAAAAAACTATAACAAATATATATATATATATATACATTCAGTCATTCACTATGACCGACAAATATAATACATTCACTATGAATGCTTTGCTCTTATTATTTCAGGTGTATAAACTGACTGAAAAATGAATGTTTGCTTGAGTTCAGTTTGCATAATTAATCTTCATCATTTTTGTATTTTATGTTTATGGGAGAAATATGTGAATTTTTATGCTTATGAGACGAATTGTGTACTTTTTATTTCATTATTGTTGTTTTTCTTAATTTTTAAGCTCAAATAATCTCTTTAGGGCCCAAAATTGAAAAAACAAAATTAAGCCCAAAATGAAAAAAAATAAAACTTGAAGGCCCAAAACACGGATTTTGAATTTAACCGGTTAACCGCCAAACCGGACCGTCCAATGCGGTCCGGATTGTGGTCAGTTAAAAAATAAAACCGGTCCGATTATGGACAAGAAAAAAAATTAACCGTTAAGTCCTGTTTGGTCATGGTTTGGGCTAAAACCGGACCAATCCGGACCGTGAACACCCCTAGTGTCCTACTCTAAAAAACAACCTAAACATAAGACTTATCAGAAATTTTTGTATGAGAGGACATGACGGTTAGACGTGTCAATCTGTTTATAAGAAAAATAAATAAGTACGTCAAAAAATGCCATGCACTTTGTTTGGCTTATTAAATTATGAAATTTCAATATAAAAGTATGTATATTTATTGAAAATGTATTTATGCCCAATGGTTAGGTTTGTGTAACAATGGGCTTATAAATATGTAATTTATTGAATAAAAAATTAACAAGCGACGTGCCTCACTGTTAGGACACCTCATGGTTTGTTTGTTTTTTTTTTCCTAGTTTTTACTAAGTCAGCAAAACTATTTCAAGTGTGTGAAATTCGCAGGGTCCCAATTGAAAATTCGTGTTTGCTTATTGATTGCTTCAATCATGTGCCCTCAACAGTTAACCCTTTAGGCCGTGTCGAAAACGATATTCATTTATATGAAAAAAAAAGTCTCATTCTAATTGGGAAAACCATTTATTGTAGACTTTTCAACTTTTCACATAGACCCACTTTTTTCTAGACTTCTTTGGATTCCTTTTTTTTTTTTCCACAAAGTAGTACCTATCAAGAAAAAAAAGATTTCTTGTTTCTAAATCATATCTCAATTATCGTTCTATTTTATTAGATGATTGATAAGTGTATAATTACGATTTCACCATGAAAACATGTTATTTATTCAATTGAATGAAACATTAACTGAAAAATATTTTTCAAAAAGAAAATCTCATCTCATCTATCAATTATTCATTCATTCATCCAATTCAATGAAACATTAACTATAGTAACACATGATATTATTTTGATTATAAGGTTAAATATCCGAGTTTCTCATCGTACAAAGATGTGAGTCGCAAACGTCAAAACTTTCCTAGCGACGCTCCTTAACAATGAGTTTGAACGACCAAACGACATAAAGTTAAGAGCGCATAACATACAATCCTCGGATTTTTGAAGAACAAAGCTCGACTAAATTCAAAGAAAAAAAAAATGCTAGCATCTGATGAAAACTAACATGTTCAAAATTTCACTCATTGAGACATAGATTATTGTGGGTATAAACAACCCCTTCATCTTTTTGAACTATGTGTCCATTGCCTCGAAGAGCCCTACATTCATCATCAGTGAGTTGACCCAGTGAGTCGACCCGTTTAACTTTTAAGTCGTCTCATGCAAGAATTTGTGCTCAACTAAATAGAATGCTTAAATTAGACGTACCATTTTGTCGTTAGTAGTCCTTCAACACCAACCGGACCTCGAGCATGTATCTTGCTCGTGCTAATTCCAACCTTCGATTCACGATTTATAGATTATAAGCAAAAAATGTCAAGGAAAAAAAAAAAGAAAAAAATAGTTCACTAGAATTTAGAAATGCTAATCTTTGACGATCATATTTCTTTTTACCTCTGCCCCAAGACCGAAACGCATCCCATCACAGAATCGAGTGCTTGCGTTGTGAAAAGCAGCAGCACTGTAATATATATAAACCGATAAACAATTCACATTGTCGAGTAAACAAAAAAGAATACTTGATTACAGAAAAAAACCTCAACCCATATATCGATTTACAAAATGTGGGGCCTTGAAATTATCGAGATGACCTGTCGACTTGATGTAAGAAATACTCGGCAGTCTCTTTATCTTCGGCAACAATGCATTCCGTATGGCCACTGGAATCGAAAGTCGCATTGTTATAAAGGCCACAAGTTTTTCGAGAATAATATGAAAAATGGTAAACGAACATTAAACGTACCTTCCGTGTTTACGAATGTGATCAACGGCAGCTTTCACATCGTCCACAATCTCGATCGTGCAAGCCCTTGAGTTGTACTCGTGATGAAAAGATTTGACCTCCGGGACATCTAGCAGAGAACTCGCTCGTGGTCCACCGTATAGTGTCACGCCTGATAAAATCCCGAACAACGAATTTAATTAGAAATGAGGAAAAATTGGAGATTTAGTCCTATAACTAACACCTAATTGAGAAATACTTCGATGATCGCGTTGACTTTACATAACACCCTATAAATGCAAAAAAAAAAAAAAAAAAA